CAACCAGTCCAACGAAGCGCTACTGAAGAAGGCTATGACGACGAAGTTCCCATCGACCTTGGTGTTGATGGAGCTAGCAGAGGAACTCTCCGCTAAGAACTGTGAGCTTCAGCTACAGTGGATCCGCAGGGATCTGAACCAGCTAGCGGACGATCTCACGAACGAGAACTTCGCTAGTTTCTCCCCGGACTTCAGGGTGAACCTGGAGGGGGAGAAGCTAGAGTGGCGCGTGCTGGGCCGTCTCCTCGAACACTCGGCTAGCTACTTCCAAGAGCTAGGAGTGAGGAAAAGGACCGGAGAGCCGAAGGCTCCGAGGTTCGCTAAGAAGGCCCGTAAGCTAGGTCCCTGGTAGCCCTACGGCTGCGCAAGGAGATTAGCTAGCCAAAGGCTAGAGTTCTTCTCCGGGCTAACGCGGGACTTCGCCACAACGCTAAAAAGAGAGAAGTTCGTGTTGTCCGTGCTACTGCGTGAAGCCAGTTAGCTTAAGCTAGGCTTGCTACGTACTCCCCGGAGGTGTAGAGGGAGGTGGCGGGAGGATACGCTAGCTAGTGTACGCACTCGTGCCGAGGGACGAGGTACGACAGTGTATGCTAGCGCTAGTATCCCTTTGGGAAACATCGAAGGTGTTTCGCTAGAAAACGTCGAAGGGGTTTTCCTCTGAAGCTAAACAGAACGAAGCTTGTCTGTTTGCTAGAGTGTCTGCACATGGCCGGTGAAGCAGTGCTACTCCGTGGCCATTGTGCTGAAAGGCCCCCAGCTATTGGGGGGCAAATTTCGAGTGCCCACCCAACCCACCCTGGAGATTAGCTAGCCAAAGGCTAGAGTTCTTCTCCGGGCTAACGCGGGACTTCGCCACAACGCTAAAAAGAGAGAAGTTCGTGTTGTCCGTGCTACTGCGTGAAGCCAGCTAGCTTAAGCTAGGCTTGCTACGTACTCCCCGGAGGTGTAGAGGGAGGTGGCGGGAGGATACGCTAGCTAGTGTACGTCTTCGGCGCATACTCCCCAAATTTGCCAAATGCCCCATACAGATGGATCGGTGGAGGCATCGGCGGAGTCTTCGGTGCATGCTTCGGCACGACCACTGCAGGCTCACCATCTGCCTGCTCAATATATCAATCCAATCCAAGCAGGTCAAGACAATCAATTGGGTTATTTCGGGTGGCGGTTTATTTTAGGGTCCATGGTGTTTTACTCAAAAGCACACAGCCTTCGGGAGCTCTGCAGCCTCCAAAGGCTTCGGTACCGCAGGCACACCATCTGCCTAGCAAGCTCAATACCAATCCAAGCCCAAGCATGCCAATACCATATCAGGTTTGGGTTGTTTATGGGTTGCAGTCTATATAGGGTATTGGTGTTTTTTGCAAAAGACACATGCACAGCCTTGCCCATGGGATCCACGGCAGCTGCAGCTTTCTCTGTAGATGCTGCCTGCAAACACAAGAAATCAAGCAAGGCAACTCATGCTCATGCGGAGTTTTGGCGGCCTGGCCTTAAAGTCTGCAGGGGCTAGAGGCCTAGCTGGAGGCGGTACCATAAGGGGACGTCGAGGAGGCACTGGCGGAGGTTTCGGGATCGATGCCAAGTCGACCACCAGCACTGGCGGGGGCCGCGGCGGCAGGATCGCTGTCGAAGGTCTGGTCGACAAAAGCTTAGGCGGTGGAGGGAACCGCAAGTGGCTAGGCCATTGATCGGCATGCCCTTCGGACGGCATGGCTGTGTTATCTAGGGGTCTCGGCGCTTAAACTCGGACATTATATACCTAAACCCTTATAAGGGTTTAGGGTTCATAGGTTGTGTCCTCGAATCGACTATTTAATGTATAGTTAGTATAGTGATCTAAACCCGAAAATTAGCCCCTCGACCCCTCGAACACAAACCAGGCAAAAAGTGATGGCATGGCATGGTGCAAGTTGACATGAGCTGAACATGTTCATGCTTCAATAATGATTGCTGATATCATGGCAATATATATATATATATATACCCAGCTGCAAAGTGCTAACAAGTTCATGCCAACATGTATCGACCAACACAAAGCTCGCCAGCCAAACTTCATCATGCCGACAACATGCATGCCAAGCCATGCACCAACTCCGATACCAAGAACGGATGCAATGAGAGCCGGACCCACCAAACCAGCTCGGGTCGATCCAAGTACCTGGCTGGATGAAACTTAACACACCTATTCGAAACTCTAGCGACTCTACCACGACAGCGGCCTTCCTGCAGTGCTCCGATGTCCTCTGCAAAACCGCTCGAAATCTGAACAGATCTAGTGCCCCACGAATGCAGTCCTTCATCCTCGACGTCGTAGTCGAAGCAAGAAGCTACTCGGATTGGGATTCTGGGGTACTGGCTATTATAAGTTGTAGGGTTTAAGGGCCCGAGGGTTTGGGAATGCGAGGAGGTTTAGAGTTGACAGCTCCTGCCCTGCACCATGCATGCAATCACACATGGCCCAACTCACAGAATCGCCGCTTGCAAGCACAGTTCATGCAACAAGTCATGCCATGCCAAGTGGATTATTTTTTCTTGTGCGAAGATTCATCCAAACCCCGTGGACACAGGAACTACAATCGCATAGCCAGCGATACCCAGCCTTGCCCCCAGCCAGGCAGTGCTATGATACAAAAGCCCAGAACTGGCTTTATGCCAGAGTCCCAGCATTCCGTGGAGAACAGCCAGCACCCATCTCAAATCACTCAAGCTCATATAACCTGAAGCTTGCTTCATGGAGCCCGAAAAAAACACGAATCAGGCGAATCTGCGCCTCTTAAGCTCGTTCTCCGGGAGGTCCGAGAGCATGTTAGCTCGACGATTGGACAGCATCCATGCCTTACAGGCCTCGAGGTGCGTGAAACCTTTGGCCCTCTTCTTCTGCATAAAAGCATTGCGAGCATCTTTAAAGGTTCCAGGTTGATACGTGGACGATTCAACCGGTGGCTTTGCTTTGCTGGTCTTCTTTTTTTTCTCTTCGGGCTTCTTCTTCTCGGGGGTCTTCGAGTCCTTCTTCGAGCCCTTCTTCTTCTTCGGCTTGTACTGGGAGGAAGGGTAGAACGGCTCATCCTGAACTGCTTCATTATCCTCCTCATCCCTCAGCTTCTTGATCCAAGCACGATTGATTTTTTCCATACTGTAACCCTCGGCCTTCTTCTCCTTCATGAACTTCAAACGATCCTGCGAAACCTTGGTTTCGGCCTCAACCGGCTTCTGCTGGGTCAGCTTCATGAGGTCCTCCAAGGCACCCGACGAGGACGACGAGGATTCCTGGGAGTCTCCACCATCTGAGAGATCCTGCGATTAAGTTTATAAGCGGAATATAACCCTAAATCAATGAGCCGCAGCACAAGAAACATGCTGGCAGCTCCTCTCGTTTCCACCAAAACTCTTCGCACTCCTTTTTCATGGCCCTGATCTCTGAGCAATGGCTGGAATCTGCACGTCGCATGAGGATTCTCAGAGTGCTGGCCTTGCAACCGACACAGCTACATACACAGACCCACACACACACACACACACACGAAACACTGCAGAACATGCCATGCCAAGGTCAACATGCAAGCCAAGATCAATCAATACAGTTCAGTTGCTAGCTTGCGGGCTGCAGTACCAACCTTGATCGCCCATTTCTGGGCCAAAGGGTTGGAGGAGTCCATGCCGGAGGGGAACAGCTTCTTCTTCTGGTAGAGTTTCAGCAAGGCTTCGGCGATAACGAAAGCTGACATACGAGATCTAAAATCTGGACCCTGTTCCTGCATGCCATAACCACGAAGAGTGGCCACTGCGACCTAGGCGGGGATCCACTTAAGTGCTTTCAGGGGCCTCGTGCTATGCATATAGGTTCCTACACTTTCTTGACTTAATATTGCCCAATCCACCCGGGGATTTGCTTTGACGTCCTTTCTGGAGCAGTGGTCCTTGCACTTCAAGAGTTTGCCGGATTTGTCGCTCACCACCTGAAAGCCCGCCTGGGCGGTGGTAGTGCTGCCAGTAGTGGTAGCTAGTAATGGTATATAGTGATCCATACAACCAGGCCTGGCGGAAGAAGGGCAGTTCCTGCTTGTAGCTGTTGTACAGCAGGCCCACAAGGACCGAATGCTCCCCCTGACCCATATTCGAGGCCATCTTACAGGCCGAGTTGGCCTTGAGCAGTGCCATTGCACTCCGAAAGCCTGTGTACAGGATACGAAATTATATGCCAACATGCACTATGCACCCTGTCGCTGCCTTCCAGCTTTACATAGACCCCTGCAAGATCTCAAAGGGAGCTAACATGCTTGGACCTAGATGATGCAGAGGAGCCAGGATCGAGTCGCGATCTTGCTGCTGCAATGCAAATCTCTGCAAGTACAGCGGGGCACTGTCAAACACGTCCTTGATAGCTAGCCTTCGCTTCGGCATGCGACCTGCACAGTTCCACTGCTCTGATAACCTACACTCCGTATACGGAGTGAGCCTGCCTCGAGCTGGGACATGGCTCTGCCCAGCACAGCTTTGAGCCCAACATGGTGAAACCGTGCAAAGCATCTATCCATTGCTGCATGTCATTCAAGCCATGCCACTCAATTCAAGCCATGCCAATCAGTTCAAGCCATGCCAAGCAAGTCAAACCATGTCAAAAATACATAGTATAATAGTAGTAATATAGTACTAGTAGTAGCAGTAGTAGTAGTATATAGTAGTAGTAGTAGTAGCAGTAGTAGTAGTAGTAGTAGTAGCAGCAAGCAAATCATGCCATGCCAAAGCAAGTCAAGTCATGCCAAATATGTATACTAATACCTATATATATATATATATATATATATATATATATATATCATGATGGAAAATAAAGGACATTTCGTGTTTTCGCAGTCCATGAGTCAACAACAAGGAAAATAAAGTGCATTCCAAAATCTCATATGTTCGGTCGTACTAGAGGAAATTAAGAAACATTCAGCGCCGCACATTTTCACTAGTTACCTTTCGGGGAATTATAAGAGACATTTCGTCCTCTAGGAATGGATGCTGCGGTGCGCAAGCGCAGCATCGAGCTCTACGCCATCCTGCTTTCCTTTGTGAGGCAGCGACCGGCGAAGCTTGTGAGAGGGGTGCCCTCGAACAATGGGTTCGAGGCCTGGAGGGTCCTGATGGGAGAAATGCAGCCGGCCACGCGGCAGCAACAGCTGGCTTTGATGGCACAGCTGGCCGGCATCCGGTTCGACGCGAACCGCAGCCTGGCCGAGCAGATCGTGAAGTACGAGGAGCTCATCAAAGGAGTACGAGCGGGTGTCTGGCGGCACCTACCCCGACGATCTGCGTATAAGTTCTGTTATCCAGGCTGCCCCCACCAACTTGCAGACCCAGCTCCACCTGACGATGGACGAGAGCACCGACTACAAGGCCATCCGCGAGAAGCTGTTGGCCTACGAAACGGCCAGCACACGCTGGCAACCTTCTTCCGGCTTCGCCCTCCTGGCCGTGACCGCCCAGGGCACGCTCAACCAAGGCGGCCCCGCCGACATGGAGATCGACCGCGTGGAGAAAGGCAAGGGCGGCCACAAGGGAGGCAAGCAAGGAGGCCACAAAGGGAAGAAGGGAGAGAAAGGAAAAGGAAAGGGCAAGGAGAAAGGTGGCAAGGGCAAGAAGGGCGGCAAGGGCGGACCACCGGGCTACACCTGCGGTGGGCGACACTTTGTCCGGGACTGCCCTAAGGGCAAGGGCAGAGGCAAGAACGTGAACCAGGTGAACCAGGAGCAGGCCACAGCAACAGCGCCGCCAGCGAGCAACACCGCCCCGACAATGCCGGCCCCAACGACAACGAGAACTAATACAACGAGCCAGCCACCAGCAAATTCGGTACGGCGAGTGCGGCTGGTGACCCCTCCGGACGCAAACACCAACACCACCTATGTCTTCGACATCTCCGACAACGACGTGGTGACGGACTTCTACGACGACTTCCTAAAGGAGCCGGCCGTGCGAGCTGTGAGTGTTCGGTCCCCACCTTCGAGGAACCGAGCAACAACACGACCCCGTGACCATCGTGCTGGACGCAAGCATGGTGCCATGCGTGCAATGGGGGATCCGCTGCCTGGCAACGCGGCCCCACCAAGGCTCACCGACGCCCAGGGCAACGACATCCGGGCCCGGGGTGAAGCAAGGTTGGCAGCTGGTCTCGGAAGAGGACCCCAGCTCTACAGGAGGAGCCGGGCCAAGAAGCATGGTCCCCCACGCACCCGTGGCCTTCAAGCACAACTCTTTGGTCGTGCAGGTCGTGGTCCGCGCGATCACCGAGGTTCCCCGGAGCCTCCCGCCAAAGCTGCCCAAGGTGACCATTTCCGTGGAGATGGAGGCCTATAAAGAACGAGGGCATGCACGTGCTGGGGAACGGCATCAAGATGCACTACCAGGCGGCCGCGACCGACTTTCTCGATCCTTGGTCGTGGCACGACGCGACCCTCTACAAGGCCCGGACCACGCTGTACCGCACAAGTCCTCCACGCACATGCCTTTTGCGAGTTGGTGCGAGGCCTGCGTTCGCACAAGAAACCGCGGAGACCGACACAGCCAAGGAGCCAACAGGGACGTGCGACTCCCGATCTTGCAGGTCGACTTCTACTTTGCCTCGCTGGAGGAAGGCGGCGAGAGGCCGAGCCCCGAGGGCGAGCAGGAGAACTGGATACTTATCGGTGTCGACCTGGACACGAAGATGGTCTTGGCTGTGCCCGGGCCCAACACAGGAACTGTTATCCTGGCGACTCTCAGAGGAAGTGCTGCCCGCCACCCCGCCGAGATCACCGACAACACCGGCCACACCGCCAGACCTGCAGTCACCGTCTCAGTCGGCAGCCGGAGGGAAAAGGAAAGCTGAGGAAGCCGAGCCGTTCACCCCCTACAGCCCATCGCTTCCTTCGTGGATGGCAAGCTCTGGAGAACAGCCGGGCAGCCCGCCAAAGCGAGCGGAAGCAGAGCCGGCGTCGACCGGAGCAGCCGAGAAGCGCAAGGCGGAAGAGATGGCCCAAGGCAGCCAGAGCAGCAGCAGCAGCAGCAGCGACAGCGGGGACGGCAGAGGCTCGATCAGGATGGTCGAGACGGTGGACGCAGAGTGGGCCGAGCGCGGCCCAGAGATCGAGGCTGATCGAGGCGGAGATTGCGGCCGACGGCCCAGTCGACCGAGGACCCGCCAAACCTGAGCAGTGAAGAGCTGGCGGTGCTGGACGACGCCGCCGAGCTGGAGGAGATCGGCTGGAGAAGATGACCGTTTTGGTCGACCCGGCGGCATGGGAGGAGGCCGAGCACCTGAGCACCGTGTTCGTCAAAACCTGGAAGTACGACAAGGCCCGCGGCTGGTACGAGCCCGTTTGGTGGCGCGGTAAAACAAGTGGAGCGTGGAGATGGGACGCGTTTCTCCAGGTGGAGCAGCCTGCTGACGAGCCCGTCCTTGTTACCTCCCCCAGTCCTACACGGCAAAGTTCGGGCAAGCACGGCCAGTGGAAACTGGGCCGGGTGCTGCCAGGACAAAGGAAAGGATCACAAAAGTGGTTCTACCAGCTGAGCGGCGACGTGGCCGAGGACCTGGAGAGCATGGAGGAGGTACCCACACTTTTCAGGGCAAGGGCCGTCCACGTCGACGACATCACCAGCACGAGATCCAGGCGAAGATCCAGAAGACCCTGAAGAGCAAGTACCAGGTGAAGGTCAGTGGGCCCTTCCAGTTGCCAGGGGACATGTATGAGTTCCTGCGGCGACGCCACCAGTTCGAGGCCGACGGCTCGATCACGATAAGGGTGGCCACGCGGTTCTACCAGGACCTCTACGAGCTGGCCGGCCGACCCAAGAAGAGGAGCACACCGGGACCCAGCGGGCGAGGCGACCCTACCGGACCATGCTGGGGATGTCGGCGGAACGGCCGGACTGCCAGGCGGCCATACAGTACCTCTAGGCGAAGAGCAGGGCCACCTCATCATGGACTTTTCGGACAGCAACTTCGCGAATGACCGAACTACCCGGCGGAGTCTGTCATCGGGCCAGATTTTCATCGGCCAAGCCCTAACCCTGAGCAGCGGAGAAGCTGAGCTGGTGGAGCTGACGCAAACCACCTCCGAGTGCATCTTGGTCAAGAAGGTCTGGGAGTTTTTGGTGTAGCACGAAACCGTCTTGATCATGAGGTCCGACTCTTCGGTGGCACGGGCAATAGCCTCAAGGCTTGGCGTCGGGAGAGTGAGGCACCTACAGACCTCGTGCTTGTGGATCCAGCAATGGGTGGCGCAGCACCTCCTTAAAGTGCTGGCGGTCCCGACGGAGTTCAACCCGGCCGACCTCGGGACGAAGTGCTTCACCGCAAAGCGGCTGCGGCTGTTGTGCTACCTGGTGGGTTTGGTCCACGACAACGGGGAGCACGTGTGCCAGAACGAGTTCCGGGCGGCGAGGCGAGCAGGACGAGGAGATCGGAACAATGATGTGCAACTAACCTTTTAAGGGTGCGAGTTCGGGCCAGCCGGCCCCAGCGAGCTCTTCGAAGACCTCGCTTCGCTGATCTACTTGATGGTCGTGGTCCTGGTGCGCTACTTGTGGTTTGTGGGGTTGCTGGCCCTGGCTTGGTGGATGGGGCGGCGCTCGACAACCTCATCCGGGAATGGCGGCCAGGAGGCGATCCAGCACGACAGCCAGGTGATCATCAACCAGGAAGGCCAGAGCGGGAACACCAACCACAACCACAGCCGGGACGTGGCCGACCGAGCTTATGGGCACGAGCAGCGGACTTGATCCAGATGTGGCGGCGAGAATCCAGAGCTGGATGGAGGAGAACGCCCTACCGATGTTGGGCATTTCGACTGGGGCAGGGCTTGGGCAGGCTACGGCAGCCCAGTCGGAGGAGGCACGGCCTACGGGAGCCACGTGTTCGGGAAGCTCCTCTACCCCTTCTACCAGATCCGGGAACAAGTTCGAGCAGGACCGGGAGAGGGGAAAAGTTTCTGAGGAATGTGCAGCGGCAAGAAACTCGAGCGTACTGAAGCCCTTTCAGAGCAAAAGTGACGAGCACGATTTGTGCTTTTACATTTTGGAAGCTAACTCAGAGGATGAGGTAGGGATGATCAGACACTTCTGTTGAAGATTGAGAGAGCTCTGTCCTCATTTCTTGAGAGCTATCTCGCTTCTATCCCTTGAGGAGGAAGAGGGGACGACAAGGAGTATCCCTTGAGGAGGAAGAGGGGACGACAAGGAGCGAGCTCATCTCTTTTGTTGTCGAGTACGACCCAGACGGAGTTCTTTTATTTCTCGTGAAGTTGGAAGGGTTCTTTTACAACACTAAGGGGGGACTACACAAGCTACACAAGTCCCTGGCCTCCACAGCGAGGCAGTCTTTTCCATGATCCACAATGCCTTCGGTAGCGGTCGCCTGTCAGAGTCGAGAACCGTATGTTGAGTCTTTCTTGCAAAGCACAGCAGTACGAAGATTGCCAAAAGTGCTGTCATCACGATGATCACTGCAAGTATTCACTTTGTGCTCAACACTGGTTCTCTTCTCCTCATGAAAAACACTGGCTCGGCCGTTCTCTGAGAGATCTATCGGCACTGAAAGCTGGCCCTTCTGGGAATCCCACCACTGCTTGGGGTCTCCGGGCTTTGTCAAGATGTCTCCAAATTGGAGACCGCTCGGGACCCACCCGATGGGGAGCTTGCTCCCCCATTGCTCTCTCTTGAGACTCTGTCTCAATGCAGCTAAATCTATGGCGAGCCTACGGTCTGTCGGCACTCTCGGAATGCCTTGCTTGTGGAGATGGTCATATAATGACCCGCAGTCACTCAAGCAGAGGAGCGGGGCCTTCGACGACTCCACCTTCACAAGCTCGCCTTCGACCAACGTCTCGATGCTGGACCTCATATACTGGGCTCCTTCCACCCCTTCCACAGAGGCTTGCGTCTCTGCGCCAGAGGTAGATCTGCACACCCTTTGGCCCGCTCTCGATCGCCAATCGGCAATGGAGAAGTTGCCGATCCCGCCCTTCACGCTCTCGAGGTCGGCGAAGAGCACCAGCGCGCCGATCTGCGAGGCGACCTTCGAGTTCTGCCGCTTGGCCTTACACTCCTTCCGAGATCCGAAAGGCCCTTCTCGCATGAGGCCGGCCTCCCTGTCTTCTTCCGTCAGTCGGAAGTAGTCCTCCTCGCACTCGTCGTCCAGAGCATTTGCCCATGCCGCATCGTGGTACACCACCACGCCGAACGTAGCAGGAAGAGGACGGTAGCGAAGGCCCTCTTCCTTGTAGGCCAAGGCTCTCATGGAAATCTGGTTGGTGAACTTCAGGTCGCCAATCGTCGGCCGCCGTTGGAGTTGTTGCGCCAGACTCACTGAACAGGTGAGGTCTGGCCTCGTCTGCGAAGCCAACCAAGACAGTGCTCCAATGAGGGACTGATTATCGGCGATCTGCTCCGGGCCTGCAAGGTCCTCTTCATCAAGCCCCTTTGGGATGTCCACGGTGAGCAGCCGTGTGCCGGCGTACTTGCGCTGGGTGACCAAGACCTCTCCTTGACCACAGATGATCTCGGTGCCCACGTAGTCGAGGTGGTCCTCCTCCCACTTGTCGATGGGGAAGGTCTTTGACAGCGCCGCCTGTATGAGCTTGTTCACCACTTTTCCAGCTATAACCAGTAGGTCGTCAACATGACTCCCCACATAGCCCAACGGCTTGCCGGTGAACTTTTCGTTGTCACGTCGCCTCAGCATGAAGATGCAGGGATCCAGAGGGCACTGCTCGAACCCATAGGTCTCACCGAGGTACTGAATCTCGGCGCTCAACATCCCTTGCTGTAGGTCCTTCCACCACTCGTGGGGAGACGTAGCCAAGCCGAAGATATTCTTCTTGATCCTCACCAGTTGACCAGGAAGAAGTCCAGGGAAGCCGGTGGCCGGCTGGTGGAGGTAGAGGTCCTCCCCTCTGGTAAGGTAGCCTCCAGTGAGGAAGGCACACTGGATGTCGCCCGCTGCGGCCGTCCATGGGTCTTCTGCTTCAAGTCCGTTCGCCAGTAGCTGCATGAGGCAGGCGAAACCTGGTCGTGACAACGTTGGGGCGTCTGTGTCCAAGGCCTCGACTCCAAGATCGGGGTCGCGATGTCCTCCGATCACCAATCGGCTCTTGCATCTCCAGGCGGGCTCTTGCTCGCCACCACTTGCTTGCCGAGCCGCCCAGTTCTTGTCGCGATATGCCCATCGACACGGCAGTGTGCGAGAGGCGGGAACAGAATCTCGAACGCGTTTAGACTCTTCGAGACTCAGTGGCTCCAGCGCGTCGTAGGACAAGTGTTCATCCCACTGCACCTTTTCGGCGTCCTTGAAGAGTTTCCTGGCGTGCTCCGGGATCTCGTTCCACCGTAGTTCTTTCTCTTGCCGCTTAGCATGTCCTCGCTGAGTGAGGGCCTTGTTGGTAAGCATCACCTCGTCGGGGTCCCGGGCGATTTGGTCCTTTCGGGTCTTCTTGCGTAGGCGTCGTAGAGGTAGAACGTGTTCCAAAGTGTCTTCCCCGCGCTCGGCCATCTCATGGTCGCCTTCTCCATCAAGAACTACCCCCCCGTCGGACATATCGGAGCCGTAGTCGGACAGGTGGTCGAGGCCGTCGTCCTTGCGCTTCAAGGCGTCTCGGTAGTCGTCGCCCATGGTCTGTTCTCCGCCGTCCTCCTCTTCGGCCTCCACGTAGGTGCTGGGGTCGTCAAGGTCCATGGCTAGTTAGTCTCCTGATTATTAAACCCCCCCCCCCCCCCCAAACAAGTCCAGTCCCTGTAATATTAACGGGGGGTCCGCATATCTCTGACCTGAAGTTGTTTGGGGGGTCCGGGGTCGAAGTTGTTTGGGGGCCGGGGGTGGTACAGTAGTACAGTAGTACATTAGTACAGTAGTACAGTAGTAGTACAGTAGTACAGTAGTACAGTAGTACAGTAGTACAGTAGTAGTATAGTAGCAGATTTTTGCAGCCCTCTTCGCTCCAGCAGCCCTCTTGCTCCGCTCTTTTAGGAGTGCTTCTCTACTTAAACCTTAAAAATTTTAGGACGGGACGGGTTTTAGGACTATTGAGGGGTCTTTATTATTGTGTGCGGGCCGAGTTTAGCTCTATTGAGGGGACCTTTTATTATTGTGTGCCGGGCCGAGTTTAGCTCTATTGAGGGGACCTTTAATAATCACGAGCTCACATTAACAGCTTATTGACCTCTTCACGGACCCCCTTCATGGTGAGGAACTCGCCGACTTCTTCAGGTCCTGAACTCCTCAAGTGCTCTGGGGCCGTGAGCCTGCAGCGTCCATTTCTCGAAATCCGGTAGCTCCCGCCTTGTTTTCCGACCACGACTGCTGGTCCGACCCAATGGGGTCGGCGACGGTCTTTGGGCTGGTTCCAGTAGTGCACTGGGTCCCCGATCTCGTAGACCGCCTTCGCTGTTCTTGCCCGGTGAAGCAGTCCTCGACGTAGTCGTTCATCTCCTTGAGCTTGATGGAATGCGATCCTGGCGCTTGCCCTGAGCGCCGCTGCCCTTTGGAACTTCGAGTCCTCGGTCAAGTCCCAGGTCACAACTCCTCCTGCGTCCGGGTCACATAGTTCCTCGGGGATCCGGGGCGACTTTCCAAGAACCCACTGCGTATAGGACTGTGGCCGCATATCGCCGCCTCAGATCATTCTTGGACACACCATGGTCCCGGCGATCTCGGCCTCTTCCTCGGTGACGTTCAGCTCGTGGACGACGCGCTCCCATATCCCCTTGAACCATCCAATCTGGGGTTCAGTCACGCCCCCTTGCCACTTGGCTTGGGCCGCAACGTCTTTCATCCGGATGTTGTGCCAGTCGCATAGTCGACCGAGTCCAGCTTGAACTTTTCCATCAAGATCCAAGGACACGGTGGTCGGTGGTCCGAACGGGGTCAGCCAACATGTGTTGAATGCCTTCTCAACAGAGGGGCCATCTTCACACTCAAGTCGCACGACAACTTGGTAAGTGGTAGCCCAGGCGACGACCGTGAGGAAAGTATGCCTCTTATCCAGGGCGTCGTGGGCGTAGAAGAGGTCGACGCCGACGCAGGAGTTGAAGTCCAACAGCCGGGGCAACGTAGTAGGCCTCGCCAACTGAGCGTGTTTGGTAGCCTGGCAAGTTTCGCGCTTCATTCCTTTCACGGCCTTGATGACGCTGGGCTCGCATCCTGCCAAACGTAGGTGTCGGCAAAGGTCCTCGGCCCTCGGGTGTCCGAGGTTTTGGTGTAGGCGTCGCAGTGATGACCTGACGATGTTGGGCACAGTCTTCTCGAAGGTGATGCCGGATCCGTCGTACTTGGTCTCCTCCTGCTTGGCTTCCTCAGGTCCCACCATACACACATCGTAGGGTCTCTTGCTCCCTTGTAGAGTCACACTGTCCTTCTTAGGCCGGCCAAGCACAAGCCACCCATCCGAATCGCCATCGGACTTATACTTGATAAAATCGACGTGCTCGCTGGCCCAGGTCTGTAGGTCACCTCCACGTAGTACAACATCTCCTCCTTCATTGAGTTGGTCTCGCACCAGCTCCTTGACGCGCTGCGTATCCTTCGCTGGCATTCCATCTAGAATCTAGATTCTAGATGTACTCGCAGCTCTTTCGGGCTAGCTCCTTTCACGAAGTGGTACGCGTTCTCCTGCACGTCGGGTTGCTCATAGTCCGGCCAGAGGATGGGCTCAATCACCGCCTTGTTCAGCTCGGTCGCCTCGATCGTGCCCTCGTAGCCGCCAATCTCCATCATCACGATCGGGTCATACTCGGGGACGGGGTCCTGTACCTCGTTGAGGAAGGTCCCGGCGGCGGCGAGGAACGTTGCCATGAGCACGCTCAACTTTCCTGCCCCATTCATGATGTTCTTCCGCTCGCTCTTCGCAGGCTTTGGTCTTGGCCCTCGGGATTCTCGCGGGGCCTTCGGCAATGGGAAACCACAACCCCTGAGGAACTTCTTGATCTCCCCGCCAGCCTCTTTGATGCCTCGGACGGTGTGGTAGGTCAGGCACCAACGATCTCCGTCCCAAGCCCCGGTAGAGTGGCGCAGGAAGGGGTCGAAGGACATCGGTTTCTCCTTGGTGGAGTGGTATCTGCCGGGAACCCAATTCCCGGGCCGGTCCTTGCGCCACACGAGGCCGTTATTGTTGGCGGTGTCCTCGTCGATGTCCTCCTCGAGCCAAAGGTCTCCTCCGCCTCGTTGCCCAAACGTCACTGTGTGGTACGTTGAGAGCTCCTCGAAGATTGTTGGAGTCCCGGTGGGTGTCACACGACACGTTCCGGGTCACCGAGATCGAGGTCCACGTGGCTTTCTCCCCGAAGTGCTTCTTGCCAAACTCGTTGAGGAAGCGGACAACCGCGATCGTGGTCCTTGGTGCAGCGGGTGATTCCGCTCACTCCCCCATGGGTGTACATCCCCTGGGTCTCGTAGACTTGCTCCCTGCTGCCTTCCCTTGTGTGCTGTATCGGCCGCAAGGGGTTGACCGCATTGCCAACCAAGGTGCTCTCGAGGAGGCGCTGGCAGTTCTCATAGGAGGTGTCGGCCCAGTCAAAAGTTGGGTCCCCATAGCGTAGCTGTCGTTGGCCGCGTGCTCCATCACGGGGCGCGCCGTAGTCGTAGTGCTCGTGGTGCTTGTTGTCGTAGGCCTCTGTTGCTAGGGGTCCATGGACTTCTCCGCCTTTGCCGTCGGGAACAGTATTGGTGTTGTAGTTCAGGGCTTTACTCAGGTATCCCCGGACGTAGTCGCTCTCTGCAATGCAGTCTTGTTCACGTACAGCGCCACAACAGCAAACTTCCCGATCTCTCCTGTGGTGGCTGCCGCCACCGCGTGGGCCACTCAGGCCCACATCGAATTTCACGGTTTTGAGCTTCGCGCCTTGTCCTTTAGCACCGCCAACTTCGTCTCGAGGGCCTGAATTTCCTCGAGGACGTTCTGGTCCGGCTGGGAGTCCATGATCTTCTCGTCCTTGCCGATCAGGTCCTTGCTGGGGCGCTTGGGGGTGGCCTTCGTGTTGCCCTTTCCGGTGTACCCCTTGGTCGGGGTGAGGCTCACCTCGTCCCATGATCCCCTCGATGAGGTCGCCGCTCGCTGGGTTCCCTTGGAGCCCTCCTCCTCGCTGTCCTCGTCGTAGATCTTCGCCTTGCTCGACTTGGTGTTCTGCTGCTCCTGCCACCATCAGGCGTACATCACGAGCTCCGGCGACGAGTTCTCCGAGCGGGCGGTCTCGGCCACTGCCCAGCTCCCGTAGGAGTCCGGGGTGTCCCGGAACAGACTTCCCTTCCATCGGCCGATGGTCATGATGGTGTCCCCGGTCGAACTCACCGTGGACCTCACGAGGCGCAGCAAGTTCACTTTTGTCACTTTGTCCGGCACCTTCACACCCATGTCGGACGCCTTCTTCCTCAAGTCGGCGAGGCAAAGCGAGCTCAGCCCCTTCATCTGGTCCGCAGCCGTCTTCGAAGTTTGGTCTCCGTAGCCGTGCCAGCCACTCCAGCCGGTCTGTGATCCATCATCATAGGCTCGGCTATCCGACCACCCAAGGTCTGATCCCGGCGGGTGGCCGTCGCTCCAACGGTGAAGAGCTCCGCTTTCATTCCATCGAGTGAGGTCTCCATATTCTCGTAGCTGGGAGCTCGGGTCCCATCCGTCTGTCCACTGCGCGGGTTGATATACTCCCAAATCGTATCCGCGATGGTGGTGGTCTCGTCCATCTGCCCAGGGAGTTCCGTGACGGTGTCCCCCGGTATCGGGTCCTCGTTGCCAGCGGTCTCGACCATCTGCCCGGGGAGCGTCGTGATATCCTCCCTGGTCGTGTCCTCGATGGTCATCACGATGGCCGCCGCCCCAGTCGCCGCCGTCGCGGCCCCAGTCGCGACCGCCACGTTGGGATCTTTTCCCCCAACCGTCGTCACTCGTGGTGGGCGTCGTCGTGGCGCTCCACCCAGACTTCCAAGGGTCATTGCCGCTTGCTCTCTGAGCTGTAGCACCGTGATCACGTTGAGGCACCGGTCCGTCATTCCCCGACGGGGTAGTGCCTTTCCCACTGGGCCACTCTCGCTGACTGGCGCTTCCTCGTGACGTCCATCATCGACGCCCTTCACATCCTTGTCAGAAGACATGCGGCCAGGATCACCGCTTCCCTCGCCGGACTTGGGGTCCTTGTCGGACTCCGGCTTCTCGGTTCCCCCGAAAGCAGGTGTTGGCGGCATCGCCACAGGTGGCTCGGTCGAGCCCACATCGTCGAAGCCCGGAGGCGGGCCAACAGCACGATCAGCCATGAGACTAGGTCCTACTGGAGCACACGGGCTCCGCTACCAATTTACAACACTAAGGGGGGACTACACAAGCTACACAAGTCCCCGGCCTCCACAGCGAGGCAGTCTTTTCCATGATCCACAATGCCTTCGGTAGCGGTCGCCTGTCAGAGTCGAGAACCGTATGTTGAGTCTTTCTTGCAAAGCACAGCAGTACAAAGATTGCCAAAAGTGCTGTCATCACGATGATCACTGCAAGTATTCACTTTGTGCTCAACAGTTCTCCGCTCCTTTGAGATTCTGCGGTAGAGCGCCTGCCAGGGGATTTCTTCCTTGCCCATATAGGGAAAAGAAGTTCATTTCTTGTCGATGACTAGTTTGACTAGGTAAAGGAGCTCTCTTGTCTCTCGTTCGTCTTCAATTCTTTTCAGAAGAGATGGAGACCTAGCAAGACGTAGAGGAGCTCTCTGCTAGAAATCAGCTGGAGGGACTCTCTCCGTGTTTTCGTTAAGGGTCGGGGGAATCTGCACCCTTTCTTCTTGAGCGTATGGCTTTTTCCATCTTTTGATAAGGTAAAGTAAATAGTCAGGATTTCTTTTCCCGTCTCATCAATGTTTGGTTTCTTGGTGTATCACGCTGTGCATGCAACCGCGAACTATGTTTCCGTTTCTTGATAGCCAGGATTCCACCTCCGTGGTCCGAACCGTCGGCTTTTTGAGGAGTCGATCGCATTGAAAGTTCAAGAAAGCCCAGTCCATGACGATGAGGCGGAACGAAGGTTATACACTTGCATTGCACGCACAGAGACACGTATGTTTGGTTTCTTGATGTATCACGCTGAGCGTAGGAGAGGAGGAAGGCAGGAGTAGAAGTTGATTTGGGGAATAGGCGTCGGAGAGTCGTACCAGGAGAAGGCGAATACACGAGTAGGAGTAGCAGAATGGCAGTGGGAGAACCTACACGGAAAGGTAGGTTTAGAACAGTAAGAGTGTAAGGGTTTGTGCCAGAATCTGCTATTGTTTTTCCTACTGTCCTGCTATATGCTACCCTTCCAAGCCTTTACTCGTACTCCTACTCACTCATCGACCTATTCTTGCACTTACCTTCCTACTCTCCCACTTATTCTCCTACTCTTCCTCTTACTCTGTTGAAAACCAATACAACTCATTGACAATACTGTTCCTTTCATTGCTTTTTCCCACCTCTAAAGTGTCGAACACATCCTACCCCGTACTCCTACACATGCATCGCCCATTCTCTCCTGCCCATGGCCTCTTGTCCGATCCTACTCTTCGAAGTCCATTTTGGAATTTTCATTCTCCTCCTTAAGATGAACTAGGCGATCGAGGTGAGGAATAAGGGAGCGAATAAAAGTAATACAGCGCGAGGCGCGAGTATGATGGGAATTTGCACGAAATCCGAGTAGGGGTTTAGCAACTTTCCGTGTCAAAATTTGGTGCGATCGGGCTGCTACCCTGTCAAAGTGTTGTAAATACCACACGAAAGCCGAGTAGGGGTTTAGCAACTTTCCGTGTCAAAATTTGGTGCGATCGGGCTGCGACCCTGTCAAAGTGCTGTAGATACCACACGAAAACCGAGCAGGGGTTCAGCTGCTTTCCGTCTCAAATTTTTGTGCGATCGGGCTGCCACCTGTAAATGTGCTGTAAGCACCACACGATAGCCAAGCATGGGTTTGGCAACTTTGCGTGTCAAAATTCGGTGCGATCGGGCTGCGACCTTGTCAAAGTGCTATAAATGTGCTGTAAAACACCACACGATAACGAGCGGGGGCTTAGCAACTTTGCATATCTAAATTTGGTGGGATCGGGCTGCGACCTTGTCAAAGTGCTGTAAATACCACACGAAAACCGAGCAGGGGTTTAGCAACTTTCCGTGTCAAAATTTGGTGCGATCGGGCTGCGACCCTGTCAACGTGCTGTAAATACAACAGGAAAGCCGAGCAGGGGTTTAGTAACTCTACGTGTCAAAATTTGGTGCGATCGGGCTGCGACCCTGTCAAAGTGTAAATACCACACGAAAATCGAGCAGAGGTTTAGCAGCTCTGCGTGTCAAAACTTGGTGCGATCGGGCTGCGACCTCGTCAAAGTGCCGTAAATACCACACGAAAACCGAGCAGGGTTCAGCAACTCTTCCGTATCAAAATGTGGTCAACGTGTAAATTGTGACTGGCTGTCGCTGAAATAGTTGACATTTCTTAAGATTCGTTAAATTCCTTGAGGAGGAATGCGTGTGACCTTAAATCCTTTAAAATTCCTTACACTCTTTAAATTCTTTAACTTTTTTAAATTCTTTGAATTCTTTAAGTTCTTTAAATTCTTTAAGTTCTTTAAATTCCCTAAATTCTTTAGATCCCTTAACCTCTTGGAACTCTCTAAATTCTTTGCATTGTTTGTATTCTTTAAATTCTTTAAATTCCTTGAATCCCTTGTATTCCTCAAATTCCTTAATCTTTTTACATTCCTGAACGAATTCAATGAATTTAAGGATGTTAAGAAATCTGAATTACAAAGAAGTTTACAGGTTTTACAAAATTTCAACATTTTAAAGTGGTTCAACAATTGCAGCTTCAAACCTAATCAAAATAAATCTAAGCACATATATATATATGTATATATATATATATATATGTATATGTATATGTGTGTGTGTACCTACGAGGTAAGGGTGTAGAGGGAGACAAGTTACTGGTGTCGCAAACCCATTTGTGCTGTGTCTTTCTGCTGTGAGAGGACCTGCATGAGGCGGCGTGCGCCATCCTGGAGCCCATGAACCAAGAAACAAAAAGGGCGCTGGCCTGCGGCACAGATATCAGATGTTACGTCGTTTCTGTATTTGCGCAGCACTGTAGGATATGTCAAGGCATGGCTCCGACGACCGGAGCTGCGGCTTGATTTGGCCTCCACCTTAGCCGTAGCCGCATTTTATCGTAAGCCCGGCCAGGGCTGTTTTCCTCTTACTGTATTGGGCTTGAGGTTTCTCAGCTGCGCCTGTACGGGCTAGCTCAACAGGTGTGCCCGGCTCGGCTGCAACGTGCGTGAGGTTTCTCATGTCGCAACCTGTCACCGGCTGGCGCGTCCAGTGCACCCCTGCCACCGTCACCCCTGCCAGCGACCCCTTGGGCACGGAACCGTCGCCAGGCGACGCATGGCAATGCGACAGCGGCGACGGAAGTTTTGCGAAACACAGCTGGCCGAGCTTGCAGCGCCTGCAGAGTACAGACTCTGAAGAGCCCGCTCCCCAGAGGCCGCTACTGCTCAAGCGGGAAGCAGTAAAATCAAGAGAAAGCAGTAAAAATCGCAACTCTGTGACTATCATCACAAGTATAGCCCTGCCCTAGCGCTGCCGTCTGAGGCCAGAGCTGGCACGTGCTGGCCTGAGCAACTGGGGAAGAGATCTACGTCGGCTACGTCTACTCAGGCCTGCCACGGTCTGCACCAGGCTCACGCCGCAGCTGCCGCAGCCGGGCTCGAAACGTGGGTCTTGCGGTCTCTGCCTGAGGCCGCGGCTGCGAAGCAACTGGTCCACGGCCCAGCCCGCCATGCTGAGTCGGCTTTACCAGCAAATCGCGTGTGCTCCAAAACTCCTATACAAATCCAAAGCAAACAAGGCAGCCTGCCATTGGCATGGTGCCGACTCACACGAGGACGGTTGCGACAACCAAAACAGCCACAAGACCAGCCACTTGCATATGCTTTCCCCCACGTAATGGCGCTTTTCAGCAGCATGGCCTAAGTGCGATTCAGCAAAATCCTTCGAAGCCAAGAAGTGGTCCAACTATGGTGAGGTGACGGTAGCACAGTGCGTCAAAAGCAGGCGCCGCGCCACCGCGCGAGCTTCATGCAAACCAATCAATTTGATGAAGACGGCGAGAGACCCGTGGTGTTACTGCTGTGTTTGGGGCAGAAAGCCAAACCGCGAAGTTTCCACCTGGCGCCCGACAGAGGCCTTAGGGTAACAAGGCCCTCAGACCCATGCTTAGGGCTTTTAAACCCATGAGCTCCAAGGCGTCTAAAACATCGGTCCATAAAGCCTAAACTTCCCAAGCCTGAAATGCGGGAATCCTCCATCCTGCCCAATACTTCATTGGTTCTGTGGAACGGTGACGAGCTGATGTTGCCAACATCCAACACCCGCGTCGCTCTACAGAGGTCCGGGTTTGCCGCCCAAGTCTGGGTTCGCTGCGGCCTGTCGCGGGGCCGCTTGAAGCGTCCGAGGGACGTCTAGACACCGCTTCAGTCAATTGAGAAGCGTTTGGTGCGAAAACGCTGGAACGCGGGCGGTTGCTTGAGGGCTGGGAGGGATTTTATGGAGCATGTGAAAACCAGTGAAGGCAGCCCAGCAAGATCTTCACTCGTCACTCGGTACTTGGTTTTGCGGAGTTGATGGTTGATGTGAATACGAGCTTTCGAGAGTGTGGTAGCAAGGATCGAGAGGCCCGCTTCTGCTTGGTAGTCTGGGAGTCCGGAAGCCATCGGGGATCTGGAATCTGCAGCTTGAAGGCTTCGAAGATCTATGCTCCGTGCACGGGCTGCGCGCGGGCTGTGCTGCTGCTGTTGCTGCTGCTGGCAATGCTAGCACTACCACTGCTGGACTGCTGGAGTCGTTGCAACCCACAGCCACCCGGCAGCCGCTGGCAGCGCCCCGGCCGCCGCTTCCATTCCCTCGGCATCAGACGTTGGACTCGGAGCACCAAGACCCGGAAAGACGGCTGGCTCCGAGGCTCCCGACGCACGAGTCCGCAAAAGTCCGCACGAGGCTCCGAGGCTCCCGACGCAGGACTCCCAGAGTTACCGAGTGCGAGGACGCGAAACTGCTCTGGTCTTTCACTGCTCTGGTCTTCAGGCGCTCTCTCTAGCCTCGTCTTCGCCCAAAAATGGATGCTTGACGAAGGGCGCGCCGGGCCTCCATGGCAGATCGATGAGACATATGATAGAACCAATATATTGGCCACAATCTATCAGTGCGATTCGGGTATACACCCCTCACGGCTGGCGAGTTGCGATTTGAAGCTTGTTAGCTTGCTTTGTACAGACTATGAGCAGCCTTTTGGGACGTTGGCAAGTTTACAAGAGATGGAGCCTCTGATCAGCGGCTCAACAGTGCAAGTATAAGCACTCCAAAACTCCGGTGTCGGCGATGGCGATAGCGATGGCGCCGAGACCATGCCGGATGCAGTTCAGATAGCCCACCAGGATTCAAGGCAATTCAACAGGTGAATGCTGTGCAAGTATTTTCTCGATTTGCCGAAAACAGTACAAAACAACAACTTAAACGGTGTGACATAGACAACGTCAAGCAGGGCAGATTTGGACTCAAAGTATGGACACCGCATCACTCAAAGCCTGCATGGGTTCAAAGCGTCCTGATGTAGAGCATGTTGACAGAGGCCGGAAAGATGCCAGGTGGGTCGTGAAGGTTTCGTGAAAGTGAATGAATCCGATAACGTGACTCCACAAAGTCCTCCAAGGATACCATGTCTGCTGGAACATAAACATCTGTTGTGTGGGAAGGTGCAAGAGCTGGCAGCGCGGGACCCTTGCTTTGGAGGTGCCGGTCGGGGACCCAGACGGATCATACCACGCCCACGCTGGGTCCACGACGTGGACCTTTCCCTTGCGAAGTGAAGTGACAAGTGAAAAGAGGGCCTTTTAGCTATCAGGTGGCATTTTAGGGCTTTGACCAATCCCCATGTCCAGGAGAGAGAGCGAGCAGAGACAGAGAGAAAAAGCCATGTGCGGCGGGGGGGGGAAGTTCGCAACCCCTTCTGGCTGTGTGGAAGAAGAAAGCCGTATGTTCTGCCTTTTCGTCAACCAACAATTTTCTGTTCACTCCCTTTAACATGCCTGCAACAAGCGCGCGGTCCGAATGCCCCGGGGGCTTGCCGTCCTTGTAAATCCCCGCCCACCGCTGCCCGAATGCAGGAGGGGGGTAAGCGTAATTAAGCGTGGACCATTCTTGGCGAGAGAGAAAGAAAGGGGGAGTCTGTGGTCTGTGCTTTTGAACAAGCGTGGATCTTCTCGACACAGCCTTGACAATGCCTGGGCAACATACAGTAAATGAGAGGGTCTCGATACCAGCGTCCACGACGAGGACATAGGGGTTCAGCTTTTTGCTCCTGGAGAACGGGGGTTCAGGGAATCACTCCGGGACAAGCTGGTAACGAGCAACTCACAGTCATGTTTCACGCCGACTTCGAGACAGAACAACATCGCCACGCGACAGCCGCGACAGCGCAGGAGTGGGAGGGTCGCTCGTGCTCCACACGCTGCGCAAGCAAGCAAGCAAACAAGGGAGAGAAAGAGGAGAGACGAGAGAGAGAGGAAGCCTTGACTAGTGCGTGCATGCGCGCGGCGCTTTAGTGACATTGCCCTCTTTGGCTGTGTGGAAGAAGAAGAGACTCAGAGCGAGAGCGAGAGAGAGGGAGATAGAGATAGCGATAGAGATGAGAGAGATAGAGACAGGGATAAAGATAGAGATAGAGAGACAGCGAGAGTGCATGACCTGCTTACTTGCTCTGTCGTGCCTGTCTCTAGGGAGAAAGAGGGACACGAAGAGAACTCTGGGACAGAGAGAGAGAATCGGGGAGAAAGAGAGGGAGGGAGAACACTCCATAATTGTGCCCCGGAGAGCGAGCAAGAGAGAGAGAGAGAGAGAGCATTATTCCTCTTGGACATGATACTACGTACCCGAGGAGACTTTGATCTATGGCACCTGGCCGCAGCCTCGGAGCTCAGTCGTCGAGCTCTGCTGCTTTCTCCCTGCAGGTTCGCGGTCTGCTGAAGGCAAAGCTGCCGAAAGCGTCAGCTGCTTCGCCGCTGAACCCAAAAACAAGCACAAGGGCTTTCCACGAGATTCCGATATTTGCGACCGTGAGGTCTAAAATGCCCTTGCCCTTGCTGGCTGCTATGTTGGCCGCCGTTTGGATGGCATCGCGCGGGAGGCCAAACCAGACGTGCTAGGAGTGTCGCAAGCGAATCAAACCTGGCCTGCCTTGGCAACTTGGCAGGCATCAAAGGTTCAAACGGTGTCGCTTGATGGCTGGGATTCTTGCAATGTTGGCATCGGCCGCCGGTGGCCGCCCCAGTAGCAGTGGGGTCACTGTGAGGGGAAGGAGCGAGTTTCAAAATTTGGTTTCGGTTCTGAGTTTCAAGGCAGCGTTTCGGAACATGGCGAGGGAAGCTTCGGATCAAGACATGGTCAGTTTCGGCCCCATGCTGCAGTCGGTTTCAGGCCCGGTATACAGGAAACACTGTTGATCCCAGCCCCACGAGCCAGCTCCCGCATGCAACACCCACCGGCTTTGCACCCTCCTTCAAGAGCGCGCCATGTGGAACGCTCCAGATCTGAGCCTTGAGTGTGCCATGTGGAGCGTCCTCGGCCCGAAAAATCTCACACACGAGCTCAAACTTGCAAGACGATTGGTGGCAGTCTCTCTACTGCTTCGTTGCGATTTTTGCAACCGGCACCTCACGATTTGATCCATTTTTCTGTACCCAACTGCCTCATTGTAAATCGGCTACTGCGCTTCTTAAGTAAACCTCGCGGTGCGAGCACATCTTCAAGCCCTAAGGCCTTAAGCTTTCATCAGGCGATGGCGGCGGTGGCCTGCCCTTTTCAGTCGGCGATGTTGGCCTTGCCTATTCAACTGTTGGCGAAAGCCCCCGGTGATTCTGTTTGATCACACCACTTCTTCAGTCGTCTTCTTGTTATGCAACGGCGAGTGAGCATTATTGTTAGCCCGCCCCCGTTATAGGCGATGGTGGTTGATGACATTTCGTCAAACCGGGGCGATGTCGGGTTGATCAGTTTTTGAAACAGCCCCCACATGTGGCGATGGTGGATGGCATTGTTGAAATTGCCCCCCCCCCCAAGGCAAAGGCGCTTAATCAAAGCCTTTTGGGCATCAGGGTCTCACCTTTCCTGTGGTACAGTTTCGGATGCCTTGGCAGTTCCTGACCACGCCTGCTTCAGTTTTGCTGGTTAGGCATAACATCGAGTTCTGTGAGTGAGCTGATCGAATGGTTGGCTCAAGCTTTCAGCTCTGTGTTTGGTATCAGGGACATTACCAAAATGGGCCTCAACTCGCTCGCCTGTCTCGTCGGCTGCTGCTTGGCTGCCTCGAGTCCTGGTTTGGGATGGTGGATGTGTCCTCGGGGAACCAGACAGAGCTGCCGGATTCGGATGAACCTGGCGATCCGCACTCACCGTCTACCAGTGGCGCCTCCGCCCTCGAGCTGCCTCAGCATGGTGGGGAGAGTGGACCTTCGCGGTTTTCACCACACCTGAGGAAGTGGGATCATTACGCACGCATGGTGGCTGGTTCCTCTACTTCACCGAAATCGGGTTGGCCTTTGGTGCTTCGGGGCCAGCTGTCGCTTGGACTTTCCTCGCCTTGTTTCTGCTCGGGTGCTTGGTGGCCGTTGCTTGAATGCGAGAGATGGTGCGCGTGTTTGGCCTGGTGGTGTAGGCATCACCGCCCTCCATTGGTCGCTCCGGTTTTGGATGCCGCGCTCGATCGCTTACCAGTCGCTCCTGCTGCCACCGCCTTGCAACGAGTGTCCTTGGTGGGTCCTAGTGGTGGGGCCCCGGTCGATACGGAGTACTACCAGCGACAAGTTCGAGGGCGAGGAATTGGCCGGAAGCCCCACGACCTGGTTCTGCAGTTCGCTTCGGGAGCGGTTCGGCTCCAGCCTGACCTATGCCGCGGTCGATTCAGAGGCGGTGGTGGACCTCGGCGCCTACGGCAAGTTCGGTGGCTGGAGATGCCTGGTGGCTATGCGGTCGAGGACTGACCCGCTTTGTTTGGTCGATGGCTCTTGTTGCCATTGTTGTACCCGGCCACCGCCCCCTCGTCGGATAGAGGAACAAGGTGTACTGAGGTCCTTGGACAAGGAACCGCCCCAGATCCTTGCGAAGCAGTGCTGGTAGGTCTGGTAGGTTTGGAACTTCAGAAAAAACCCAGAGCACTCGCTCCAGATGGTTGTGCACGAGGACCGTGCCGCGACTGAGCCCAGTGGGCTTATAACTGGGGATGTTCATCTTTCGGATCTGGGCGGTCGTGAGACTGCACGCCTTTGCAACCATCACAATCAGCTCTACTCTACCTGCTGTCTTGCCAGGGAAGGAAGTGTAGTGTGGTCTCGTGCTTCGAAAAAATGCATGGAGCTCACAAAGGTACCCCCCTCTGCATGCGTCATCTTGCAGAGATGGGTCGGTCAAACAGTCCGGCGCCTAAGAAGGGCACCCAAGGGCCGAAACCCGAAGCGCCAATCCTGAGTTCGATCCGGCGGTCGCAATCCGCAGACTCGCGTCACAACATTTCGGAAAGGGCAGTGCGTTTCAAGGAGTCTTCCAAGGCGATTTCCCCGAAGGCGAAAGCTAGCTCGGCTGAGTGTGAATCGCCCACGAAGGCAGAGATGTCTTCTCACCATCATGCAGGAGCTCCTGCACTTGTGGGCCTCCGCCCTTTCTTTGGGAAAGGGGGGCCTACGTCATGGTACCTCTTCAAAGGCATCCTGCAAAAGATCTTTCCGGATGTGGCCGTGCCGTCCTTGGAGTTGCGGGCGAGTTTCCCTTGGCATTGTCTAGGTGATTTTCCCGAAACCGACGCAGCCGGTCGATATCCTCGGAATTGGTTGCAGGAGTTCCTCCCTTCACGGCCGCTCGATCTGGAAGAGAAGGGAATCTCGATTCAAGGCACCTTGCTGGCAAGATCCTCCTACCAATGTTAACGTTTGACAGAGGAACAGCGTTTGTTTTGTAGTAAAAAGGAACTGCAGCGTGCTTTCTGTTTGTCCAGGAAAGTCGGAGTCACCTCAGTCGAAGAACTTTCGCCAGCTCCGAAGGCGGGGTGTTAAACATTCTGCCAGGCTGGGAACAATAACACCGCTAGTGCAATGTAGTTAAATCAAAAGAACAGCCGGCTCACGCCCTTGACGTGCAGGCTCGAGACTACCAGGACACACTCCGCAGTCCAGGAAAAGTGTCCGCCTTTGTGAGTAAGTAGGAAAGCTTAGTGAAGCCCGTTCTTTAACATTTCGTAGCATTCACCCTTGAGAGACACTTTGGTTGGTTCGTTTTGGTTGGTTGTGCTGGTTTGGTTTTGTGTAAGCGGCCGAGGCAATGACAACTGCTCCGCACTCGTTGCCCGTCGCAGCAAAAGTGCGCCTCTCTTGTGGTGCTTGCCTTTTTCGTACAGTAGAGTGCGAACTAGCAGAACTTGCTGGTATAGGCATAACATAGAGTTGTGTGAGTGAGTTGATCGAATGGTTGACTCAAGGTTTCAGCTCTTCTGTGTTTGGCCCTCCCGCCCACAGGCGGACCACCATTTTGGTGGCGATCCGCCGGGCTTTTAAAGCCTGACAACTGCTCCGCACTCGTTGCGCGTCGCAGCAAAAGTTAGCCTCTCTTGTGGTGCTTGCGCCTTTCGTACAGTAGAGTGCGAACTAGCAGAACTTGCTGGTTAGGCATAAGACAGAGTTCTGTGAGTGAGCTGATCGAATGGTTGGCTCAAGTTTTCAGCTCTGGCGTACTCAAAGCCGGGTCGTGTTGTGGCGATGGAAGTTGGCCTTGTTTCTTATAACGTGTGTGTTTGGTGGTTGACCACACATCAATCAGCCATCCCCCATTAGGCGAATGCAGTTGATCCGGTGAGATTAAACCAACCCCTGTCGAAGCAGCCGTCACCGGCAGTTGGATGATCACATTGTCTTAAACCCGCCTCCTCAGTGAGCGATCGCCACTGATCGCAAGATGTCTTGAACCGGCACTTCGTTAGCGTAAGGTGGTCGATCACATTTCCAAAAACCCCACGCCCTCAATAGGCGATGGCGGTTAATCGCAGCATGGCAACACCGGCATCTCTGCATCCTGCAGGGTAACTTGGTGCCACAGCATGCGGTGAGGGCAAGCGGCCATTGCCTCCACCATGGTTTTGTGCGCCGACGGCTTGTCCATGTTTGTTACTTTCAATCTGCCAATGTGCCTTTGAGACCGTGCAGAGTCCTAGTTTGCATGCACACTTTTGCCGAAATCACACGCGTGAAGAAAAACAGTGGTTGGTGCGCCATGTGCTTGGTGCCAAAAACAAACGGTGAAGGCTAGCGCCTAGTTGCCTCCACGGCTTTCGTTGCCACAACACGCGGGGAACGCAAGCGGCTGTTGCTTTCACCATGGTGTTGGTGCCAAAACGCATGGTGGAGGCAAGCAGACGTCCTTCACCATGGTTTTGGTGCCAGAAGCAGACGGCGAAGGCATGCAGTGATGGCCATACCGGCTCCTCATCAAACTATGGCGGTTTATCATGTTTCTCAAGCCCTGCGTGTCCTTATGCCATGCTGGTTGATCCAATATCTTAGTCCCTCCTGTTGTGTGGCGATTCTTCGTTGTCGGTCGTGCTCGCGTTAGCCTGTTGTTGTTGGCTTTTCTTTGTGCGTGTGTTGCCCCGTGGTCGTGCCAGTCGTCGTCGTCGTCATTGTGTGTGTGTAGCTGCTGTGCTCGTGGCTGTTGTTACTCAGCGGTCCGCTGAAAGCTTGCGACTGACTGTCTACTGGTTTCCGAGTCTCATCACCTTTGTTGTGGGAGAAACGGCCGCTCGGGACCGACATTTCGGATTTGCTGGGAGACCTGGTGACAAGAAGAAGACCCCGTGTGGTTTTGTTGTGTGTCAATGCAACCGAGCTACGTTTGGTTCGCGAGTTCGGCTGTGGCTTAGCTTCTCTGCGGGTTCCTACAGTAGGTGAATATTTTTGTACAACATCCAAGCTGCATGTCTTGTTCAGCTAGTTTTGTCTGACTGGCTCCGCGTTCAGACTGATGAGTTAGAGTTAGAGTCCTCAATTTCCCCGGTCGGACTGTTTCTGCTTGGCGCACCGCAGACTTGCTGGCGCAGCCACAGCTGCTTGACATGTAAGCAGCCAGGCTGATGTATGCTCCGTCGGTCAAGCTCCCTCTCTCCCGTCACTTGGGTCACTGGACAACAGCGGAGGCCTCTAATTCTAACTCGTCTTGCCGATGAGTTGGAGTCCTCAATTTTTCCTGGTCGGACTGTTCTGCTTGGTGCACCAAAGATTCGTCGGAGACTTGCTGGCGCATACAAGAGGGCCGCAGGTCAGAAAACTAAATAGAAACTAAGCAAAAAAACCTGCGTAGCCCCTTTGAACAGAACCGGCAACTTCATTCCGATTCGACTTTCAAAGAAGACTGCCACAACAGTTGAGTCTCAGCCATCCAATGGTGTGAGCTTCTTAACAGGAGTTTTGACAGACAAGCCGGGCATGAGTCAACAACACTAGAAAATAGCAAAAGCGTGATAAAGAAAAGCAGCTATCCCATCCAGCAGCCCATCACGAGTCATGGTTGCCAACAGCAACGATGCAAGACGCGAGTAAAGCCGCAAAGCGGAGGTGTAGCCCCAAAAGCCCTACGGGCCAACCGACCGGACGCCATACAATCTGCCCGCGAGGTGGTGCGGCGATGTTCCTCCATGGCGTCCCAGTGCAATCCACGGTACGGTCTCGTCTTTGGGATCTAGGAAAGCTAGGTTGCGCTGAGCTTGCCTGCCCAACCGCATTCTCATTCTCAAGTCATTCAAGTCAATGCCAAAACATGACAGGTACCGGAGGAAGGAAGTACGCGCATTAACTCGGCTGTAAATGGGTCCAAGGCTTCGTAAGTTTCTCCGCTATAACTCAAGCGTGGCTGTCGGGGCCATGCCGCCACTCTACCCGTCGCCGGGGCCCTTTCCCACACATCGCGCGTTGGCCGCTGTGAGCCAGGCCTGGTTTGGAGCAACAGGCCCGCGCGCGGGATGCCTCTGCCGCTGTTGAAGGAGGCGGTTCGGCGGTGCTACTACGAGACCAGCAGCGACCGAGCCCTCCACGCGCGTCCCCTTTCCGAGGCAGAAAGCAAGAAGCAGAGCGGAGAGGGGAGGGATCCGCCGCCTTGAGGAGATCCGCGGGGAGAATTACCTGAACGTCCATGCCATTGGCCAACGAAACACCAAGCGCCTCAGACTTGCAAGACGAAGCGGCTCGCTAGGGACACGCCAGCATTTAACAGCAAACTGCCCTTGACTTCCGCTCCTCGCCACAGGCCACGCGGGCGATGGCTTGACGCTTTTGCTGCAAAGGCTGCCTTGAAGTGTTTACGCTGCTCAGGTATCTGCAGTGGACGCGGAGGTGGGAGAGTGTCAGAGAGAGAGAGAGAGAGAGAGAGAGAGAGAGAGAGAGAGAGAGAGAGAGAGAGAGAGCGCATCACACAATTGCCCGTTTATGTCGATAGTTGTTTTTGTTCTTCTGTCCTTTTTTTGCTCCGCTGTTCGCTTGCAGTGTGGCGCCCTTGACGAATCGCTTGGCCTGCCACCACACGCAACAGGCCCGCGCGGCTGCGGAACATCTAGCGAAACGGAGAGACAGCGGTAAGCGAGCACGCCAGTTCCAACCGCTGGCCTTGGCGGACAACAAGATCAACACCGACCTCGCAGTATCTCAGCGCATTTGGAGCAGAGCAGCAGAGCAGCAGCGCAGCCTCAGCTGATGCTGAAAAGGGGGGGTAAGGGGTCCGGAGTCGCTCTAGGCCTCCTTCAAGGCCGGCTGGCAGAAGAGCAAGGCCAGCCACACGCAGCGGTCTCGCAGTCGCAGTGGCACAGCTCTCCGCTCTGCTGCTCTGCTCGTCGCAGGGCGGTAGCCAGGCCGTCATGGACAGCAGGCGCCCGGCCCCTGCCGTGCCGTGCTGTGCTATGCTGTGGCAGCGTGGCTTCTGACTGCAAGTGGAAGGACCGTCTACGAAGACACCTTCGTGGGCTGCGACACAGAGGCAGCATTCCAGGCTGCACGACGAGCCACGAGCCGTGAAGCTGTAAGCTCGGAGAGGCACTGGCGGGCGCGCGGCAGCCACTTCCTCAGCATTTGCTGTCCCTCTCTGGCTTCGTCCAGCCGCCTCGTGCCGTCCTGACCCGGACATCCTTGCTAATTCCCCTCGCAGATTCGGATGCATCCTGGATCCTAGTCCTAGACGTTATCCATCACTCTACGAACCGAAGACAACTTCATTGCTACACGAGATCAGATCGGTGAGCGAAGTTGCCGACGAAGTCGAGACAGTCCTTCGGGAACATGCGCTGAAGTTTTTCTGCGTGACGCAGCATCACTTCCAGGTCCAAGTGAGACTGGGGAAATTATGGCGAGGTCAAACGACGTCACCTCGAAATAACGGAATTAACGACCCGATCTGGGTTGCCAAATTAAGTGACCTGGGCTTTGAATTGAAGTGGTGCGGGGAAGGCTGAAGGCTGGGAGGCCCGGGCAGGGAATCCAAAATCAATTTGTTGAGGCAACAAATTGATTTTGGCGGTTCCGGGCGGTGAGAGTGAGAGGAGGCTGCAGGCGGGAGAGGAGCAGGGAATTCAGGCTCAACAAATGAGCTGGGCTGTGGCCTGGGGAGGCTGCGGGCTTGGGGCTGGGGACTGGGCTAGGCGTCCGACAAGGAGTCCAAAATCAATTCATGGAGGCTCAACAAATTGATTTTGGTGGTTAGAGGCAGTGGGAAGGCTGGAGGCGGGAGGCCACCAGCAGGGAATCCAAAAATCAATTTGTTGAGGTTCAGCGTTGTGGGAAGGCTGGAGGCTGGGGGACCCGGCAGTCAATCCGAAATCAATTTGTTGAGGCTCATTTTGGCTCAGGGCCGTGGGAAGGCTGGAGGCTGGGGAGGCACTTGGGCAGGGTCTCCAAAATCAATTTGCTGAGGCTCAACAAAGGTTCCGGGCGGTGGGAAAGGCTGCTACCATTGCTGCTCCTACTATCTAGTACCACCACGGAATTAAGTGAAATTAATGACCCGACCCGACTTGTCAAATTAACAGAATTAGGATGCGACCCGACCCGACCTGGGCTTATTTCCATATGCCAAATTAGTATAACTTCCCCAGAATGAGAAGATCGAAGAGCATTCGCAAGCAGCCGCAGCGCCGCAGTGAGGCCAAATCGCAAGCCGCCCCAGAAGCTGACCAGCACCGTTTGCCCACCTGGCGAGCTCCTGGAGACCAAGTCCCACGTGCCTTGGATGCGACTGCGAAGACTGCGAAGGGCGGAGAGCGGCCCCCCCCCCCCACCCTTGCTTTCCTGAGGAGCAGCGGCATTTTCAGGCGCCCCGCCTGGATCTTCTCAAAGCCGAGCGCGTGCCACCCCCCAGGCGCGGTTGCACCCCACTTTCTTGGGCGTGAGTGTTTCTGATCTCTCTTTTCTTGAGAGCCGTCTCGCCGTCTCGCCGCTGAGGCCTCTCTTGGCGAGAGCCCAAGCGAGCCCCAGAAGCCAGAGCGGCTCAGCGGATGTTCAAGCGCATCCCTTCGACTCTTCGACTGAGGAGATGGGGGGAGCACCACGGGACCCGCCGAAGAGGCTGAGTGCAGTCCGCCGCAGCTTAAGTCTTGAAGGGGACTCTTTCAAGGAGTGCCTACGTGCGTGAGCACATCCTCTTGCGGAGCGCGGCTTGGAGCAAAGAGGCAGCAGAGACTTGGAGACCCTTTCCCTTTTTGACGTCCCAGGTCTCCAGCCCAGAGGTCTTCGCCACTCGTGCCGAGCGCCCGCAGGCGCACTCTCATTCCTGCGCGATTTAACTCGCTTTTCGAGAGTGAGAGAGGCCCAGCTGGTGAACCTCGACGTGCTGGAACTGCGGTCGGGGCGCTCAGCGCTCAGCGGCTCAGCGCATTTGGCCTCCCTGGAACTCCGAGGCGCAACCCGTACATGAGCCCCGGTCAGTGACGCGGTAGGGACAGTAACTTCCGTTTCACACCGCGGGTATCAAGACCGCGGCGACTCGCGAGTTTGCCAAGGCTGCGCTTTGAAAGCACAGCTCGAGGCTCGAGAGCCGAAAGACACCCGGCTCTGCGCGAAAGAGTCTGAGCAAACCTCTGCTTGGCGATCTCGCTTCCAGCAGGGCCCAGGCCCGCTGAGTACTGAGGCCAGCGTCTATGCAGCTCTGCCGGCCCTCCTGCCGTATTGGATACAGACGCTTGCCGCTTGCCAGGGGCCCATGTCTTTTGAGAGGTACCCTGGCTTGACCTGGCCTTCCCAACAAGCTCGCAGGTCGCTGAGGGCAGAGACATGCAGCTTGTGTGTGGCCGTGCTTTGGTACATACTGTCATGCTGCATGCATACAAGCATACACGTGCGCGTTGCGTCTGCGTCACTTTCTGAGTGTGTGTGTGTATATATATATATATATATATATATATACATATGGAATTCACATAAATATATGAATAGAGCTACATATAAAGGTAGATAGATACATATATAACTATGTATGTGTGTGTATGCATGTATGTATGTATGTATGTATATGTATGCATGTATGTATGTATTGCTATGCAATGCAACGCAAAGCAATGCAATGCAATGTATGTGTGTGCGCGCATGTACGCGGAATGTATGCATGCATGTATGTAATGTATATAGAGATGTATGCATGTATGAATGCATGCATGTATCTATGTGTATGTGTATGCTATGTTATGTAATATATTTATGTATATGTATATATGTATATATGTATATAGGTTATTGTACATGTATATTTGTATCATTGTAGATGTATAGGTATAGGTATGTGTATGCGTAGGGCCTGGGCGTCGGGGTAGGCATATCTGTATGTGCATGTTGGTGTGTTTGTGGTTGCGGTTGCTTGTGTCTGCTGTCGCTGCAGACTGCAGGGAGCGTCGAGAATCGTCGAGGCACTCCTTCGGCTCCTGCCGCCGCCTGGCCCCCGAAGGGCTCCGAAGGGCCGATGTGATCTGGAGACTTCTGCGAGGTGCTCCCCACTTTGCGAGGGAGAGAGGGCGACGGTTGCAAAAGGGTCACCTTGACAGGGCAGGGCCGCAGGGTCTGCGACTGCACTGCAACTTTGTGTCTCCTGCTTTATTGTGCATCGCACTTACCACCTCTGCCTCTGCCGTGACTACCGTGCCTCGCGCTTGCCTCTGGCTCTCGCAGCATCTCTTGGCGCCATGGGCAACTGCAATTGCCCAGTGGTGGCCCGCGACCGAAGGGGGGGATGGGGAATTTGGGACCTAGGTCGCCGCCTTGATGCGAGGTTCGACAGCCCCGAGACAAGTTCACCAAGCTCGACAACCTTCAAGAATGCCACGGCGACCAAAACTCCGAGGGCCCGCCAAGGCCCCAAGGCGCGGAGGCCTTCCCGCCGGGCCCGGGCCGGGAGGGGCCGCAGAACAGCTGCGGGGGGGTTCTGGCTCGCGGCGGCCTCGGCTCTGAGGCTCCACGGGAAGGAGGACTTCGTGAACGAGGCGAAGGGGCCGGGGGGGGGGCCAGCGCGCGGGGCCACGGCCATCGCCCCATCCATCGCTTCTGCGCGCTTCCGCCGCTTTCAGGTTGCTACGGCGAACTCGGCGGGCAAGCAGCTCCACGTCTGGCCCCCGCGCTCTAGCAGCCCGGAGCCCAAAGCCACGCGTCCCCCCCGCTTTTCGTTGTTCTGGGGCAGTGCGGTTTTGTAAGATTGAATGCTGCTCTCACAACTTCTACTCCAGCTCCTACCACTTGTTGTCGGTTGCTGCAGCCAGACCGTTGCTACCAGCTTGATGTCCTTTCCAATTGCCAATGCCAATACCAACAATGTTGATGGCGAGCCTCCACTGCTCAGCCGTGTCTTCCCAGACTCCGGAATGCTTAGAAACGACCGTGGGTCACCAAAACCAAGCTCTGCACCGCCTGAGCTCCTGTCCAACAGTTGGCGGGTTGGGCTTGCAGGCGGCCATACCGACTACTGCCATCGCTACCGCTACTTGTCGCCTGCCACCTGCTAGGTGCTGTTTGCCACCCACTACATCTATTTTCTAAGACGATTGCTCCTGCTGCTGCTGCTGTTCGTAGTCTTATTGCAGCTTTCAATATATCACCGTTTCCGCTGGTCAAGAAAGCCAAAGTGGCAGTTGCGAATTAGATGCTTGATTGCATGGGAATGTCAGAGCTGCAGCAGCTTCGGTGATGGAATCCGCCGAGTGGGGGGGGGGGGGGGGGGGGGCGATTCTGCGATTCTGAGGTGGTGACAGTGATGTGGAGTCGGAGACCGAGGAGCCAAAGCAAATCCAGCGTCCCCGGCGAGGCCAAGCTGGAGCCTCCAAAGCGGTGCGAGAGCCCAGAGCGAAGAATCCTCGCAATCCTCGGTTTCCCGCAGGCGCCGTCTTTGCAGAGCAGATGCAGAGCACAGGCGAGCGGAAAGCCACGCGTTTCAACCGCCGCAAGCCGTGTTGCGTTCTTCGCAGGCTACTACAAGGAGCCTTACTGGAACAAGCACGTGGCCTGGGAGAACCAACTTTTTGCTGCTTGGCGAAATTGAAAGAGGCTTTCTGAACACATAAGTTCATTTATATATATATATATATATATATATATATATATATACATATGTGTATATATATATATATATATATATATATATAGAAGAAGACCATATATAAGTAAGAGGCGTGGGTTCGGTGTTTAGCATGCTTTACTTGAACGCATCCGTCAATCCAGTGGTTTGGAAGGTTGTTAGGGTATATGTATATAATGTATATATAGATATATGTATGCAAATATATTCATACAGTTAACCCCGTGGTGCTGCGCCGCTGCGCTGCATTGGTTGGTAAGGTGGCCCTGTCGGCCTGTCCAATCTTCCAGCAGGCGGATGCGCAGCGAAATTCGGAGCCCATGTGAGGGGCCATGCCGGTGTAGTCGCAACACATCTCGCGGGCAGTTCACGGACGTGGAGATCACCAAGTTCGTCCGAGCAGCAGTCTAAGACAGGGCAGCCGGGATGGCCGGAAGCGGGCCTAGTTTGGAGCCGGACGACTGCCGCTGCAACCGCACTGAGGCGATGGAGATCCACTTGCGCTATGCCGGCGAGCCACTGTGCCAAGAGGGCGAAGCAGGCGAGCCCGAGCGAGTCCGAGGAGAGACGCTGAAATAGCCGGTGCGAGCTTTGGCAGGTGATGGTCTCTTCGTGGTGCTCATGGGAACGATCTCTTGCTACAAGGGCAGCCAGCCAGGACCCAAGATCTGCCTCAGCTCCCTCAGCTCCAGGCCTGGAAGCGGAAGCTCTCGCTGAGGCTTTGCACCATCAAACCCCCGGGCTCGCTCATCGACGAGGAGGGAAACGGCGGTTTGGGTGGCGGTTTCTTCGTGGGCTCTCTGACAGCTCTGCAGGCTTCTGTGCTGTATAGCTACCCAAGGCGACAGAGGGACAGGGCTTCTTGCGGTTTTAGAGGCCTTGTAGCCACTGCCACTGCGAGGCACTACTTCATGAAGGCCCAGGGCGAGCCGACGCCCAAGGGCGAAGTCGCAGCGCGGATCGAGAGACCGAGTGGCTAAGCTGAGAGGTGTGTGATGGCCAAGCTTTGCCGCCACTCGGCAGAATCTGCGATCGCTGCAGACGCCGTCCCTTTGCGATGCTCTCCTTTGAGGCAAAGATTATGTGGACCTTGGCACGCGCTTCCAGCTGGGGCCTTGATAACAATCCGCGAGAGGGAGAGAGAGAGAGAGAGAACAAGAGAAAACGAGAAAAGAACGAAAGGAGATCGGAATCGCTGAAGGTTCTACGCGCGGGAGAAGTACAAGAGCCTCCTGATGGAAACCAAAGTGCCGCTCTCCCAGGATTTTGGAGAGCCCAAGTGCAAGAAAGAGCTGCGCCTCACACGGAACGGGTCAGTGTCTCGCTGTAATCGGCCAACAGCCCGAGCAGGGCCTCGGAACTTTTGCACACCCCTTCTGGCTGTGTTCCTCATGTTCTGAGATTCACACAAACACTGTTGCAATCCCTCTGACTTGGTTGTGCAACACTCAGGATCTTGAGTCACATAGGCGCCTTATACACCTGCCCGCCCTGTGAGTGCGAATGTGTTATCAACCGGCCGGGCGTGAGCGAGAAGGAGGATCTGCAGGCGGCTGAGCTTTCGCCAGTTCATTCTGGTCGGAGGCCTGCTTCTGACAAGCCACGTAGTCTGTGGGTTTGTGGTTTACTGTTGTTCGAGACGGAGCCGTGCTGCCGCTGTGGTGTCTGTTAGCCCAGGCCGGGGATCGCCGAGACGGGACGCTGCAGCTTGGGAGTGCTAGAGTATGAATTTGGGGAGTCTGGTTCGAGTCTGGTACTCCGATGATGATGTGTGGCATGAGAGAGTCGTATTGCTACCCGGCAAGACCTAGAACTGCTATTGGATAGTCACTCCAGACCTAGATGTTTATGAAGAAGAGATGGGAGGAAATGCGACTGATGGCCTGAGGGTCATTCTGCACGGCACCCGCACCCGATACACAAGGCCCCAGCCTACAAGTTCATGCAGGAGGTCACGAATGATTTCGTCGAGGAGAAGATCCTTGAGGCATGGCGGGAACACGAGGCCACACATGGCGAGGTTCCCGACGTTGAGGGGGAGATGATAGTGTTGCCCGACGGCAGCAGCAGGCTCCTCTCTGGATTGGTGCCTCGACGGCGGCTCCGACGCAAGAGGAAAGCTCCATGCGGGGGCCGCTTCTCATTCGACAGGCAGCCGACCTGTCGATAATCATTCCCAGAAAGTGGACACAGCAGGGTTGCATGCCGGAGGACAAGCTTTCAAGCTGTTTTCCCAGGATGGTGGCATCTTCCTTTCTTAGGGGTGTGCCGCCGCCGATGCTCCCGCAATCAGCGGGGGAGTGATACGCCGCCCAGCGGTCGATGAACGGGCCGAGAGAGATATCCGAGTTCTTCCTGTTTTGTTTGATGCTTCGGAGGCACTAGCAGAGTCCGAGGAAGTTGACTTTGACAAGGACCTCGCACGATGTACCGTGATGCACGTCAGCTGCGCCGGCATGGTTTGAGCTTCACCCAGCACCACGAAAGCTTGCTGAAGAAGAGTGGCGTTAGGGCCACAGATCGCTCCGAGTACGAGCATGCGGCGCTATGCCGTGTCCCGGACTACATGGCATCGTACGACCAGCTCAACTTGCTCAACCTGCCCGCCTTAGCATCGGCGGAGTCTGTGAATCGCCGTCGGGCCCTTATCGAGGTAGCTCATCAAGGTCGTCCCGAGACGCCCAGCTTTGAGTCTGCCAAGGACATTATGGGCATTCGGGAACCGGGTGACGGTAGCGTCATCGATCCTGCCCTGACCCAGCATGCCGCGAGAAGGGCTGCGACAAAAGCCGAGGTGATGAAACAGACAAGGCGGGCTGCGGAGGAGCGAAAGCATCTTCGCCAGAGAGCTGACGATGAAGAACGGCCGGGAAAGGGGGCGGCAAGAACAAGGACAAGAAGCAGGGGCAGGAAGCCCCTGAGAAGGGGGCCGGCTTCAGCTAAGCATGGCAATGGAGACGGGTGCAGACGTCAGTGCAAAAGCGGGTGTGGCGAGCCCGGCGAGCCCACTCGTTGAGGCCACCTCCACCCACCAAGATTTCGCCGCAGGCAGCGCGTAGGCAGCTGCTGCACAAGGAGGCGGGTTCATCCCATGGGGAAGTCCTGCCGGGGCAAATAGCAAGTTAAGTGAGAGAGAGATTGTCCCTGCTGCGGGACCAAGCAGAACCGGCACTTCTGGAGGCTCCTGCCGGAGCTGGAGCGACATCAGCTACGACATTTCCGGACGGAGATGATGCTGGGAGATCAGTAGATCGCTGGGGTGCTTGAGCGGGGTTTGGAGAATGACCGGTACATGGACCCACAGCTTAAAATAGGGGGTCGAGAATATCATAGTTACATAGTTTTGTCGTTGAGCTTGTGAAGAGTAACCTTGTTTACTTCACGGCCAGCCCGAAGGTGCAGGTGGGTGCTTTCGTGGTTACAAAGAAGCAGCAGCAACAGAGGTTGATAGTGGATGCACGACGCACAAATAATTTTCTGTGCTCCCCCATCCACGCGCCTTGGATCAATGGACAGCTGGGCCAGGTTAGCGTGCGAGGAGGGCTCAGAGGTCTACATGGCACAGGAAAATGTCAAGGACTATTTCTATAGGCTTCGCATAGATAAAGGGCCTCGGGGAGTACTTCAGTTTCCTGAGATTGACCCGGCGATGCTGAAGGAGCAGCTCGGTTATACATGCCTTCAGAGGTGATCGAGTTGCTCGCCGGCTCGGAGGCCCCCTGGGTTTCTCATGGGCTTTTCATCTGGCCCACATTGCGCATGTCGAGCTTGCCTCCAGGACCTTATCAGGCATCGAGGTGGCGCAGGATCGTCGCCCGGTTCCGAGGATGGGACTTCATGATCATATTCCAGCCGGCAAAAGCTCTTCTTTGTGCGTGATCATCGGCTTGATCAGGCCCTACTGGCATACAGCTCGAGGGTGGCCATGTCGGGAGAAGAGCTTCAGGTGCTTGTGGGCCATGCGACAATGCGGGCTATGCTAAACCGGGGGCTTTTTGAGCATTCTGCGGCATGTATACACTTTCATTCAAGACTGATACGACCAGAGGGTGAAGTTATGGCCACCGGTGGTTCGTGAGCTTGAACTGTCCAGGTGGTTTTGGGCAGCGGTGACATGCGAGCAGGCTGGAGTCCACACGTGTATTGTACACAGACGCCTGCCTCAGCGGATATGCCATCATGACCAGAGACCTCCCCGTGGACACGGTCAGGACCATCGGGGGAGAAGATGAGAGAGTGGCGATTTTACCGCGGATCAGGCGCTCTTGTTGCGCCAAGAGAGTCAGTCTGCTTTGGCAGGAGCTGATGTTTTCTCCGATGTTCGCACAGTGAAGCCAGAAGTAGAAGGGGAAGTGTTTGGCCAAATCATGGAGGATGAGATTTTTCCGGAAGTGCCACGTTAGGTTTTGCAACCGGCCGATTGGCGGCTGCTGTGGAAGGCGCCTTCTGCGCACAAGGAGCCGGCGCGTTTGCTGGAGTGCAGAACCATTTTGTCCACCATGAAGCACCTCTCACAGGATGTCAGACAGCACGGGCAGAGAACTCTCACCCTGAATGACAACATGGGGGTTGTGCTAGCCTTCATGAAAGGGAGATGTTCGAGCTACAGCTTGTTGCGGTTGTTGCTCATGCAACCATGCCGTGGAAGGGTGATAGAGTTGTGGTAGTGTTGTTTTCTGCAAAGCATCCTTCAGAAGTCAAAGAAGCTCTTCACAATTCAAGTTCGTTGTGAAGAGCTTCGCGCCCGAGGGTCCGGCTGCTGATGCGCCGCTCAAAGGGCCCGATGCTGGTGTTTCCGCTGAAGGTTCGGGTGAGTTCGTTCCGGATGATGGATCTGAAGATAAAGTTCCGGAGAGGATTGTCAAGTTGAGGGATCAAGCCATTTGGTTAGAGCACTCACTTCCCGAAGAATCCTTTCTGTGACATTTGCAATAAGGCTCGCGTGCTTTCAAGGCGCGTTCGTAGGAAACCCCCTGATTCCGATGAAGAGCCCGACCCGCTTGAAGCATCAGATTTTGGAGAAGTCATTGCCGCAGATCACATTCATGTGTTTAGATCGCCAGACGACTCCGATGCTCTTGATAAGTCTTATGTTGTACTGTGCTTGAGAGATAAGTACACTGGTCTGTTTGCAGCATTCCCTGGAAACGATCGCTCTACGAGTGCCGTCGTTACTTCATTAAAAGAGTTTGTTGGACGCCGAATCTGTTCCAAACCAGTGACCTTGGTGTCTGATGCAGCAGATGAATTCGAGGGCGCTGCAGAGGAGATGGGATGGATTTCTTCCTCCTCTCTGCCGAATCGGTTCCCACATAATGCTCAACTCGAGAGGGAGATTAGGACCTTCCAGGGGGTGTGCGATCATCATTCCTTGAAGCCGGTTTCTCGATTCGTCCTGAGTTGTGGCCTGTTGCTTGCCGCTATGGTGCTATGGCATTGAACTTGACTCTGCGTTCCCCGCAAGATGAATCATGCAGTAGATGGGATTTCAACAATGATGATGCGGGCAGAGATGAAATCTGCGTGAAGAAGCTGATTCTCGGTCAGCTCGTGTTTTATCGACACAAACATGAAAACAAGTTCGGCCCCAATGCTGCCCTGGCTTGTTTGCTGGATGGCGGTTGGAACCTGGTGGCATTTGCCGTGCTGTGACTTTCGTGCTTGATCTTGAGAAGCTTCGCGTTCAGTCTGGTGCTTGGACGGAACCGGTCAGTATTGCGGAGTCTGAGTTGTATGTTCGATCCGGAGATCCCGTGTTTCCTCTTCGCGACGCAGCTGAGCATGCCTTGTTGACATTTGCCGACGACGGCGATGTGCCAGTGCAGGATCCCCTTCCGATCCCTTTCACGCCTCATGTTTTCACAGATCAGGGTGAAAGGAAGAAGCTGCGGAGAATCTACATTACCTATGCTAGATTTCGGAAGATAGGTCCCACTCCAGGGCGTTCAGCTTGCGACAACGACAACAGCAATCACAATGCCGAATGCGTCGCAAGGTTTGAAAAGGCCTTTGGCAGAGAAGCTAAAGCCCCAGAAACACCTGTGCGCAAAGAGTTTCTCTCTGATGAAGAGTTGCAGATGCCCAGACCTGCTCCTCGTCCTGAAGGAGAGCACCTTTTCTGACTGCGAACCTTCTGAGGCTGGTCTCGAAGGACCTCCAGCAATCCCTGCTGTCTACCGACATCAGAAACCTGGCGCTCTTGTTCTTTTTGAGATTGTGTCTCACTCCAAGTCCAATCTTACAAGTGTTGCCAAAGAGTCAGGTGTTCGGGTGATATCGGTACCGTGCGATCAA